CTATATGGCGCACTCCAACATTATGTATGTTGCGCTGCTATAGTTTACGCTAGAGTGAACAAAGCTTGACACCAGTGCCCATTTTTTCTAGCTTCGTCCCTGGGGGTAAGAGAGCTTGAGAGCTCACGTGGTTTGGAGAGGTAGTTTCTGGGAGGGAGAGTAGCATCTAGGAGCGCGCGGGAGTCTTCGGGGATAGGCATAGGCAGGGGGGACGTCGAGGTGTGCCAGTGCCATGGTGGCCGCCCGAGCTCTCCGGAAGTCACGCGTGGGCATGCACGCGTAGGAATGGAAGGCATGAGGCGTCGTGGAGGTGCACTGGTTGTGAAGGGGAGCGCTCTGCCGCGGCCTCAGGCGAGCAAACCGACGAGGTCTTGGCTTGCCAGGGTCATGGTCACCGCGTGGACTTGCGCTGTGTTGGCTTCTTGCGAGGCCGGCCATGTCTTGGGTGGGCAGTGATGCTGGGTCAGTTCTCTGGTGTGATATGATAGAAAGTGGACCAGTGTGCTTGGTGCCAGGGACCAAAAACACTTGTATACAGATGGTCCTTGTTCTGCATTCTGGAGATTTGGCTCGATGGAAAGAGCTAGATCTTGGTGTGCGTCTGTCTGGTGCTAACGTGAGTAATTATGCAAGGTTGAAGATCCAACACAAGATGTTAGAGAGCAGTTGCAATCCAATGGCATAAAAGGGGCAGAACTAGGGTTTGGGTGCTCAGCTCCTGATGATCAATTGAACATGAAAAATCTACTACTGGTGTGGTGTAGGGGGAGGTATTTGGGTTCAAAATTCATTGTGGCAAGGTTTGGGGAACTTAGAGCCACAGAAACGAGATGATAGAGATATTAAGAGAGAAGAAAGAAGCAGCGGCAATGCATGGTCTTTTCCTACAAGAGCATGCTACAAGGTTTTCCGCAAGCTGCGGCCTTGGATCCATTGTTGCATCTTTGGTCTGTTCAAAACGCATGATCCAAGGCTGATGAAGCGAATTTGCATGTCGGTTCACTGTCATAGTGTGTTGCCACCAATGCATTCATCGGTGAAGAAAAAAAAAGAAAAAAAAAGGAAAGAAAGACATTGGTTGCCTGAAACAGAGCATCTCCTCTGTTTTTGCTGCATGCTCTGCTGATTGTAACACTTGTCCGAAAAAGCTTGTCCTTAGAATGGATGCACGTAGCACTAACTTGATGTTAGATACATCCATTTGAGGGACAAACTTTTTCGGACGGAGGGAGTACTACTCTTCACCCGCAAAAAAGAAAAAGAAAAAAAAGTTCATCTGAAGCAAATGCTACTCTAGCTGTGGCCTCCTCTTTTCAGAGGAGATATTGGTCTTCAGTGTCAATAGATTTACTACAACATACAGTGCATAGGAATTTCAGAAGGACAATTACCTTCAGAAAAACCAAGTGGACACACATGGCAACAAGGCTGGGCTGTGTTCCATCCATACAGGCAACGCAACAAATGCCATTTTCCTTCTTCTTTTCTACGTACTACTGTACTTTCCAGTCACAAACCAGCAACACGCGGGCTCATCTCTTTTGGTATCCAGTTACATAAGTCACACAGTGCTTTTATATACAAGAAAAAAAAATCCATAGGCACTAACTGTTTACATCATCTTCCAGAGCTTGCCCGATGTAATTGTGATACTGGATTTTCTTTTCTTCTTCCAGAAAAATCTGGCCTTCAAGTACTAGATGCTTCCAGAAAAATCTTCTACTTGAGAGGTCATTTCGTTGCTGTGTCAGCCAATGATGTGAGTTGGCTGAAACCTTAATTCTGCATATGCATTAGGGCCACCATATATACTATAATAACCACTCATGGTTCAGTTCCTCGGACCATCTGCTAACCGAACCACGCTGTGCTTCAGTTGAGTTGTTCTTCAGTGAAGCATTTGGGTGTGGTACTGACAGCAAATGAGTAACTCAGGCTCCACAAGAAAAACTTCAGATTCAACTTTTGTGCTTGTCTTGTGAATAGTAATGAACCAAAATTTCGCTGACAAAACGGCATGCATTACTCCATAGAAGAAGCGTGTGTATTCAAAGCAGTGATCTAAGCTTGAGAGCACAACTAGAGTAACGAAAATATACTCGAAACGTGCATGTGTTTACTCGCCCATGAGGAGAATAGATAAAAAGGATTTCAAAACAGCTACTACTGTATTAACTGGATGGAGTGTGTATGCGAGAATCTATCTACTTCTCCAACAGAACACAAGAGAGTTTTTTGTTTCCTCAACTAGAGAGTGCTCCTCTGTTTTTGCTCGACCGCTGCGTTTCGGCTCCGGTCAGCGAGAGAGCGCTTGGCTTCAGAGAAGAAGAACGACTTATTCTGCAACACAAGCAAGCAAGCAGGGATGCCATAATATCAGGGGGTGAAAACAGAGCAGAAATGACAATAAAAAATAGGCATGGAATATGTCTAGGACTAGCCGATCAACATACATACCTGTACCTGAACCAAACACTCCTGCGATGCACCTCTCAAGTTTGAGCAAGCAGAAGCATATCTGTACATTGTTGGCTTTCCTGTTGAACTCTAATTTTTTTAACGTAGAAATCGCTTGTTGAAGATTACTTGACTTTTTGTCAACAGTGCTACTATGCGAGTACAGCCCTTACTCTGCATCTTACTCCCTCCGTAAAGAAATATAAGAGTGTTTAGATCACTAAAGTACAGAGATAGTGATCTAAACGCTCTTATATTTCTTTACGGAGGGAGTAATAGTTTCAGTTTCTTCTCAGTTCGTAGCTTGAACAGACAGACTTTATGTGCTGTAAGACCTTCATTGTAAAAAAGCAGCTGTAAAGTTTCTACTCTGTTTGAGATTCAGGGACTAGCACACAACTTATAAGGGCATCTGTGTTGAGTTAAGTTTACAGTAATTTGTAATGCTTTAATGATGTGAACTCTCAACAGAAAACAAGAAGATTGATTTGTAATATTGAAAAAATAATCCGTGTTAAACAATATCAAACCATGATCAGCACATATCAAACTGAATGTCAGGCTGAAGAACACGGAACACAGGATGGGTTATGCAGTCTTGGACGCTCACATGGTCAAGGCTCCACTTATTAGTGTCGAAGAAACGAGCATCCTCCACATTCAGTTCTCTACTCCCATCATTTCAGTCCCAAGTGATGTGATAATTAAATAGCAAACAAACAGTAAAATGATAAAATTGTGTATAACAAGTAGCGATGACATAGCGTCAGAGGTGAAAACAGAGCAGAAATGACACCAAAAGTAGGTATGGCCGATCAACATAGACGTACTACCTGAACCAAACACTCATGCGATGCACCTCAACTTTGAGCAAGAAGAATTCATATTTGTACATTGTTGACTTTCTTGATGAACTCTAATTTTTTTTTAACGCAGAAATAGCTAGTCCAAGAATGCTTGACTTGGCTCAACAGTGCTACTAAATGAGAACAGTCCTAACTCTGGATCTTAATAGTTTCAGTTTCTTATCAGTTCGTAGCTTGAACAGACAGATTTTATGTGCTGTAAGACATTCATTGTAAAAAAGCAGCTGTAATGCTTCTACTCTGTTTGGAGGTTCAGGGACTAGCACATACAGTACTAATTTATAAGGTCAGAGAAGCAATGGGCGGTGCATTGGACACTGGCCATAGCCCCTCAGTGAAGATTAAGTGATATACATTGGCATGATTTCAAAGTCCACTCAGAATCTGCGATTCTTCTTTCTCGCCACAATCTTAATACTGTCAGCTAAAAAGGGCATCCCCATAACTGAATACTGGTGTGGCATTCAAGAATTAAGGTGTTTGATACCCTGTTGTACTGAGTTTGTTCACTAAATCTAGATACATCAATTTCAGCGACGAGTAATTTGGAACGGAGGGAGTACGTACCAGCCAATAATCTGAACCCCAACATTATTGCAAGAAAAGGAAAACCTTTCAAACTCGAGTTACAACTTCTCACAGATCCATCTAACAGCAGCACAAGCTTTGCATAAAAAGAAAGAAGGTATATCTATCAATTCAACCTGAGAAGTGAGAAGAAACAGAGACTTGGCAGAATTCTAATTAGTGATACTGAATTTCTTTTGGTCTTCCGGAATCTGGCCTCCAAGTACAACATACTTTTGGTACTAGTGAATGATGCATGTCTGTGGATCATCTTCCACTTGAGAGGCAGGACAGGAGGTCATTATTCCGTTGCTGCTAACTGTGGCAGCCAATGATGTGTACTGGCTGAAATCTTTATTTCGCATTTTCATTAGCCATCATGCTACTATTATAACTAAAGTTTGTCGGCATCGACTCCAGGAGCAGCATCTCAGGGGGTGTTTGTCGTTGGTCTTCACTTTAACTGAAGTTTTTGCCCCGGTTCCTCTATTATAACTCAACTTTGTCGGCGTCGACTCCGGGAGCGGCATCTTAGCTGATGGTCTTCACCTATCCCCAGTTCGTTCCTCGGACCATCTGCACCATCCACTAACTGAACTGAACTTAACTGAACCGTGCCGAGCTTCATCAGTTGTTGAGAGAACCTTTCTTCGGTGAAGCTTTGGCCGTGCCCTTGAGAGCAACTCATGTTCCATAAAGAAAGCTTCAACTCACCGGTAACTACCTAGCAGTGCCTTGTGAATACACTGTCTTGCCTTGTGATGAACAAAAGGTTCCCGGAAAAGAAAAAAAATGCATGCATTGGTTGCTCGAAACAGAGTACAATTTTGGCTCCGTGACTCTTAATTCCCAATAAGATACAGTCCTAGGTTCATATCATACAATAGAGCAGACTTGACATTCCATCAGGACATAAGTATTATATTTAGTTTGGAAAATTGCATTGTGCTGTGCACGTGCCACGTATACCATTTCAAAGCTGACTAATCAAGTCAATTCCACAGACAGTTTGGAACCAGACAAAGGGAGGAGCAAGCAAAATTAATAGTCCAGGGCAAAAATATGTCAAAACCAGGTCCATCACAACCGCTCAGCTGCTGTCTCTGCCTCCTACTGTCCCGTCAACTGCCGTATCCTCTCCTCACGAAGCTTGTCCTTGAGCAGCTGGTCGTTGACTCGTTTCCTTGCCAAGGACTGCTCGTACATTTGCGCAGCCTCGCGCTTCTTCTCCTCCTGGGCGCGATTGAATTCCTCAAGTCGAAGCCGGTCCATCTCTTGCCTCGCAGCCTCACGCCTCATCCTCTGCTCGTACCTCGTCAGCGACTTCTCCGGGTCATTGAACCAATGGTCTTGCAAGACGAGGCGCCTCCCGCTGCCAAGGAAGGGTATCTTCAGCTGGTACACCATCTCGTCGCAGACGGCGCCCAAGATTTCCGGGGCATGCTTTTGCACCTGGCCCAGGATCTCAGACCCTCGATCAATTACTTGCTGTCCAACATACCAGGCCCCCGCAATACCAGACAAAATGACAATGAGGGTGATGATTTGCAGATCCTGCACCGTATGGATCTCCGCAAGGCATTTGCTTGCCACTGAATTACACTTGGCCACCCCGGTGATTAGCACTTGGACAGTCTCCTCGTCGATCACCACAGCACCGGCTGAGTAGTACCGTGCCTGAAACAAAACAGTAGCAGAGGCTGGAAGATTTAGTACAATAAACCTACTACTTATGTGACACATCCAAAATAGGCTGCTCATGTGAACTACAGCACAATTACCAACCTGCTGAACACGAGCAGCGCTAACGAGGCTGCTTGCCGCACTGGTGGCTGGGCTTGGGTACACAAGCGCCTGCAACAACACCGAGGCTTTAATGTCAGAAACATAAATTATAGTGCTAGGAATAGATGCAAAAACAGCAAGCTATAATGTTATTGATATCTAATCCAAACCATAGCAATACAATAAAATACTGGTGAAAAACTTCCTGTGCTAAACTGTTAGAATGTGCCTCCTTTTTCAGGTTTAGCTGTTCTTTCACAGTAGTATTATACAACTCCTCCTATTTCAGGTTTACAGTAGTATTTAACAACTCATGCATTATGCTGGAGTTTGGCCAGCAACCAATATCCAAATGGTATATTTCCTAATGTATCAATTGACATCCCTCTTCCAACAAAATTACTAACCTGCTGAACAGCAGTGTTGGCAAAGCTGCTTCCGGCACTCCAGCTTGAGTAGTTAAGTGACTGCAACAACACAGAGGTAAATTAAAGTGCTAAGATAGATGCAAAAACTGCAAAGTATTATGTTATTAATATCTAATACAAATCAGCTAGCAATTAAATAATATAATGGTGAACAACTTCCTGTGTTAAATTACAGGATGTGCCTCCTGTTTCAGGTTTAGTTATTCTTTCACAGTAGTATATAACAACTCATGCATTATGATGTTTCTAGGCTATAGCAAGTGATTACTGGAGTTTGGCCAGCAACCAGTATCCAACTGGTAAATTTCCTGGGACATCAATTGGCATCCCTCTTCCAAGCAGATGAAGCAAAGATGCTGCTACTACCCCCTGCATTCAAGAGGAACCTGTCTCAGGGAACTGATAGAAGATCTAGATCCCCTGCATTCACTCAGGGTGTGGCTGCAAACCATGGCAAATCTGCTACAGAGGCACCTAAAGCCACCCCTGTTAAGCTTTCTCTATCACAATCCGATGACCATGGACGTGAGCAAACCAGAACCTTCTCCTTTGGAACAAGAAAAGAACAAGATAGACAGCTTGACCCAACTGCAAAAGTCAGCCTTGATGAGTTCAAAACGAAAGCGCCTAGTGGAATCTGCAGATACAACCAAACTAACTCAACAGCAAAGTTGTCAGGCTGAAGCTGTGGGAGATCCTTGTCCGGAAATACTTGTCATTGAAATGAATGTATCTAGATGTATTTTAGTTGTAGATACATCCATTTTCATCAATTTTGATGACAAGTAATTCCGGACGGAGGGAGCACATCACAAACTAAACAGGCTGTTGCTTCAACAAACCCTGAAGACAATGAGACACCTGACCAGCCTAAACATTTAACCGCCAAGGGAGAAACGGCTGAATGGAATGACTAAAGTTGGGCCTCAGAAGATGGAGTTTTCACATAAGTTGCAGCCCGCGACACTAAAGGAGGGACATATCCAGAAAAGCTCTCTTCTCAGAATATTTCATCAAAGAGTAAAGGAAAATTATTCTACTGTTGCACTGCAAGGAGAATGCTAAGTTGAGCAAAGCTTCACACAGACAGAAGCCTCAGGCACATAAAGCAGCAGGAAAAAAATTGAAGTCGCCACCATCTGGCTCTGCTAGTCCATCACCTGAACCGAAAATGTAGCCATGGGACAATTGAGGCAAGTCCCCAGGTAAATGGTAAAACTGAGAGAAATTTACCAGTCCATTGGCAGACAGATTCAGAGTCAACAAGGAAAATATTTCATCAATCAGCAGGGAAAACTAATTTTCACTGTTGCACGCCAAGGATCCCTCAAGCACATAAATTAGCAGGAAATGATTTGAACTCGCCACCATCTGGTGCTGCTGGTGCCTTCTCTGCAGGGACAAATATCCAGGACCAAGCACCCGTCCAGCTAGTACTACTAGCTAAATCGAACGAACGAGCATGCTGGGCGTGGTGGCGGGGACGGTGGGCACTTACGGCGGTCTTGCTGAAGACGGCGCGTGGGGCGGCCGAAGTAGAGAAGCCCTTCGCCGGCGGCGAGAACCTCGGCGCCGGCGCCGCCAGATGGAGAGCGGCGCTCCTCGTCCTCGACGCGAACGTGCGAAGCGCCATGGGCTCCTGGCCGCGGTCTGGATGGGGGCGACGGCGACGGCGGCTTCCTTCTCCTCCTCTCCCTCTCTTCTCTCCCGACCTCTCGAGAACCTTCTGGAATTCTCCCCTTGCCTCTCGCGGCGGCTGCCACGCTCGACCAAGTTGTTAATGGGCTATTGCTACTGGGCCGGTCTACCCACCCCATCTATCCTTTGTTTATGAGCATTTTTACGGCTATGGTCACAGAATTTTTTTTTTAGTTCCTGCAAAAATCGTCACCGGACTCAACAAATGTTAAGTTTGAATATGTAGGAGTAAATTACAAGAAACTATCACATTGAAGGCTAGATCAGCAGAAAACACCCGTCTACAATTTATTTTTATTTTTTTTAGCTTTAATGAGCCATGCCATCCTTGTGAAGTTCCTTGATACTCCAAAATAAGTCCTAAATTTAAATCTCTATATGGAATCATTTTTACCAAAAATAATCATTTTTTAAGCGCCGTTCTAGTCAAATCTTAGAAAAACTATTCGTAGAAATGTGGTATTTAGATCTTCAAGATACACTCTTTCTTAATATTTTATTAATAATAATGTCAGAATAAAAACCATATGAAATTCAGTTAGAAAATTTTATTCGTCTAAGTGTAACAACCACTTCAAATTAATGGAACTTAATTAGACATGAATGGTACTCTCTCTGTTTTTATTTACTCTGCATACTAGATTTGATTGAAGTCAAACTTCATAAAGCTTGACCAAGTTTATAGAAAAAAATATAAACATTTACAATAGCAAATCTATATGACGTGAAAGTGTATTCAATAATGAATCTAATGGCATTGATTTGTTATTGTATATATTAATGTTTTTGTCTATAAAATTTGCCAAAGTTTACAAAGTTTTACTTTGGCCAAAGCTAATATGTGGAGTAAATAAAAACGAAGGGAGTATTAAGATGTTAGGAAAATTACAAGAAATATGTAATAGAGACACTTGTATTGGATCAATATCTATAGTCTTATCTTACGTCATATGTATATTCCAATTTATACAGATTTAATTCCATGCTAAGCCCGATAATAGAATTTATTTTGGAATAAAAGTAGCACACGCAATTTATAGTATCGTTACCTCGCTGCCCATCGATAGAAGGAACAACCAATCTCACCGATGTTGATCAAAGGAAAACCCACCTCCTGTTTCCTCTCCTTCTACCATTTTTTCCTACCCAAGGAAACAAATCACTCTACCCCTCACCTAGACGCTTCCTTCACGAGACGACCGACCATCACGCCCCACGCTCCTGCCGTCAGGTTTCGGTTGCGTCCGCCACCGCGCCGCGCAATCCCACCGTTGGGTTCGGTTCGCGTCCGGTACCATGCGGTCG